TTTCAGTTCAAAGGTCTGCCAACACAGAAAAAGAGGGTTGTACTCACCGCCGGGGCATCTGAAACAGATTTTTTTGTGATTCTTCAATAATTGGGAGAATTTTTGAAAGCCACAATGAGGCAAGTTCCCTTTCTTGGCCATATTTGTCCAGCATTGTCAGTTGTACTCACACACAGTATCTACTACCAAGTCCAGGTAAAGCTTCTGCCTCAACTAATGACTTCTGAGAAGGTTTTCATTAGCTTCTCTGCCCCACCAGTAACAGTATCAGGAAATCTAATAGCACAAAATGTTAGAATGACATGGTGTAATCCTTCCTCTCCTTCTTTCACTGAAGTCTTATCCTTCATCAAGGCAGACATACTCTTATCCTTTTCCTTGGTCAAAACTGTAGATCTACTATATTTCCTTGTGTTAGTAGCCAAATTTCTTGTCGTATGTGCATAAATACATATATAAAGGTAACACTAGTGATTTTACTGTGGGTTGTTGCAGATACAGTATTGCTTTCATTTCAGTTGTAATTTTGCGACATTTGCGCCTACTGCACCTCCCGTTTAAGCCTTACATTTTCTCAGCCATTACCAAAATGGCAGTGTTAGGCTGATGGCTTCTCAGTCGCTGGGAGTCTGTTTTCTCCGAGCTGATGTTACACAACAAGCCATGTCTCCGAGAAATAAAAAGATACTATTTATGAATCATCATTAATGAGTCTTTATGATACTCTTAGTGAACAAAAACCTGGGAAATTTACCCTAATGAAGTTAAGTGAAGTCACTCTGTAACCCCTGTGTGGGGTTTACCTGCACTGGGTTATTTCAAGACAGCACCCACAGGCACTGTCTGTAGCAGGATTTTGTACCAGATTGCCTGCCACTGGGTACAAACACATTAAGATATGCAGAAGTGATAACACAACCTTTGTGGAGTTTTTCAACCATGCTGAGCTGATACAACTGAAAATCATGCCATTTGCTCATCAAAACGCAGCCCATCTGTTTCTGCATAATTATTCTCACCTTTTATTTTGTACAGCAAACATAACCACAATAGGCTCTGCAGGTGTTGACATAATACAGGTTATCATGTTTGTATTTTGATCTAGTAATTTTGTATAGGTCTTGTCTGTTCTTGTATCAAATTGACTGCCAAACCTGTATATGATGTCTGATGTTTACAGCTTTAATCTTCCATGCACTTCCTCTTTGTAAAACAAATTTTTATTAGTTATAGTTTCAGATTACTCCCTACAGTCAAGAGCATTCATATTCTTAAAGTATATACTTTCAGTCATGATAATGTAGTTTTCTGCTGCTACTGTGTGTTTGCCTGCTACTATTTTTTCCATTTTTCTTTAATCCATCTATTTATTGTTTACCTCCCTAGATGTTTTAACATTTCTTTATTTTGTTCTATATATATCTCTTCTCTTTTAGTAAGTCCAAGCTCTTTTGATGTAGAAACGTTTAAGACTGGCTGGGTCCTCAGAAGAAATTGCTTCTCTTGATATCTGAATCAAAGTATTAATAAAATAATGCCTCCATAGTACATGATTTCCACAAGGTCCATTGTTGCTGTTGTTATTAATAGGAGACAATCATTGCATTTTCTCACATTCAAGTTTGTGTAAGTCCTTTGGGATGTATAGATGCCACAATATTATGTTACTGAATCAGGAAAACAAATCAAATTACAAGTTGTAGGCCAAGAAATCTTTTGCTTGGTTTAACTTTGTTGTTTCTATCCCTTTAAGTTTTAGTTGCCATATTCAGCAGATATTTTAGCTTTTACATCACTGATTAAATTAAGAGGCAAATTAATTTAAGGGCTCTGAATGTTCTTGATTGTCAGCAATTTGGATGCTTATTAAGTGGTATAAAGTATATTTAATTAAAGATTTATTGCTTCACATCCAATAGTAAAACATTTAGCATTTATGTCTTCTTAAATTTATTTATTACCACTTTTTCTGTAGTTCAAGAAGAAGAGTTTTAAAGGCAGCAAGCATGATTTCCTCATTCTGAAAGAATGACTAACCACTAATTGCACTGAACAGAGCCTTCCTCTTGCCTATCTTTTATAATTAGAAAAATGAATTGGCCCTTACAAAGTGTTATGTCTTTGCTTGTTCCTCATAAAAATATTATGTCGCCACTCACTATCTGTTTCAAAGGTTAAGAAAGACTGCCGATCAGAGGAGGGATCAGCTAGTCAATGCTAGAGATGGGGCTGGAGTTTAGGCTTCAAACTAAGTCACACACTGCTCTGAATCCTTTTTTTGTTGTTGTTGCTCTTTCTTCCCCAAATTAAAAATCTATCCTAGAACAACAGCAATCAGCCTTTTTCATACCTTCCAAAATAGTCCAGAAGGTGCAGCCACATAAACAAAAGCAGCCATAATAGAGAAGGCCACATAAACTGGCGTTTCTTGTGACAAAGCATGAGTGTATTGGTCTTTCCCCTTCTCCAACGCGTTTAGGAAAGTTAAGCCATTATCCCCTGCCTTCACCTTCCCCACAAATCCTTTGGCTGTAAATACCGGGGAGGGGAGAGAAGGTGGAATTGGTGAAAACAAACCCCATGACATTTCTTTGAAGGCTCTTGGTGAGGAAGAAGAGAGCACACAGCAAGTCAGAAGGTGTGACTGCACCAGCTCCATTTTAAACCCAGAAGGAAAATCCTGGCAGTTGTAGATATTTTTCACTTTTTTATAGAACTATTTATATGGGAATAGAAAGAAGATATCACAGGCCCAACATGAGTTAAAAAAAAGTATCAGTGACTTCTCCCTCCTTGTTTTTGAAGCTGAGTAATTACAAAATAATGGGATATGCTGAGTACGATCAGGCCACAAGGATTTGGACATCCTTCCCAAAACAGGCCGGCCTCTTCTACCTTTAGTAAAAGGAATTTGGGGTTTGACGTTTAAAGAAGCAAAAGCAGAACTGGAGATTTCTCCAGCTGATTTCTGTGGAGATGAATAAACCTCCTGGGGTTTATTTGCTTGTTTAGTAAGGTCACCAAGGCCTCCTGTTGAATCAACGGAAAACCACATCTACCGCAGGCCTCCCCGTTTCTGGATCCTGACTATTCCAGGGTAGGGATCCACGAATTTGTCTTCTGCTGCCTGGTATCACACCAAGCCCCACTCGCTGTGTTTTCAGGGTGCAATACAGAAGCGGCAAGGGGAATGTTCGGACACACTTCTTCCCCTGTGCTTGGCTGGTGGGAGCATGTGGACAGACATGCTAGGCTGAGCAATAATGGAGTCAGTGGAGTTTCCCTTGCTGGGCGGGAAGGGCCACAAGGGGTGCCACCACAGTTTGCCTGTGTGAGAAGATACTTTTTGGGTTTTTTTTATGGTTGTAGTGGGCACAGGTGCCCAGGCGCTGGCAGTGAGGGGCTGCAGGGTCGGCCCGTGAGGAGAGGCCGGGGCTGCCCCGAACCGGACACAGCTGGTTCCAGCCGACTCCAGCCGACCCGCCGCAGGGCACGGCTCAGCCCCACAGCCAAGGTGGGGGGGCCTTGGGCGAAGTGTGTGTAAGATAAAGGGCAGAAAACGCTGGGCAGGCAGAGGAAGAGGGGGAAAAAGAAGAGCTGAGAAACAGCAGAGGAAAGACCAAGGTCAGAGGAGAAGGAGGTGCTCCATGGCGGAGCACATAATGCCTGAAGCCAGCAGAGAAGCGGGAGAGGGAGGGCACAGCCAAGAGGCACGTCTGTGCGCCGACCGTAACCCCCTCCTGTGCTGCTCCTGACCTTGCTGAAGGGACAGAGCGTGACCTGCGGCCATAACAAGGGGGAAGAGAGGAGCCTGGAGTGACACTGAGCCGGGGAAAGGGGAGAGGAACGGTGTGTTTTCATGTTCCTCTTCTCGCTTCCCAATACCCCAATCAGTAATTGAATATATCTGTTAATTGGCCACAAATTAATTTCCCCAAATCAAGTCTGTTTTGCCCATGAGGGTAATTGGTAAGTGATCTTCCTGTCTTTAGCTCAACGCGTGAGCTTTCTTGTTGCTGTTTTTTCCTATTTCCTCCTCCCATCTCACTGGGGAAGGGGGGACTGAGCGAGCGGCTGGGTGGGAGCTTGGCTACCAGCCAGGGCCAACACCACCACAGTCCAGCAAAACACAAGTTGTTTGTAAGCTTTGGGCTTAAGACTAAAGACAAACAACAACAACAAAAAGAAGTAAAGGAATTTAGGCTGTCAGTGTTCTCTTTGCATCACTGACATCGCTTGTCTGTGCTTCCTCTCCATACCTGTGCACTGAACTTCACGTCAGAAAGTTAGGAGACTTTCCCTTTTAAATCAGCTTAGTACTTTGCACATCTATAAAAAGACAGGTTGTATGAGACTGATTACACAGTTCTTTGAGTAAGAAAGCCTGTTTGATCTTTTGCAAAGTCAGTGAGACCTTGAGCTACTTAGGCTTTGCACAGTAATTTATAAGAGCATTGTTTCTAGAAGCTCACTAGAAAGATAATGCGTTTTAATCTGCAAATCATATCCAGGTTAATAAATACAAAGTAAGGTATACACCATCCCAAGTGAACAACTTCCATGCATCTGCCTATATCCTTTTCTTGTCAAACAAAAGGCATATCGTTCTTAAATCTGTTCAATATTAGATTTAATTCTTAAGAAACGCTTATTCTGTGAGAATCTAGGCATTGTGTCCTCAGCTCCTTTATTGTCTTGCCTGAAAGCATACATATGTACAACACAAACTTCAGAAGCTAATACAAAACACCTTACAAAAGACAGAGTTGTAAAGGATGATGAAAATGGTTACAAAAGAAACAAAGCAGGCATAATAGAAGTATTCTTTAAATAAAAAAAAGCAGCATTTATAGTGAAATTATAATACATGCCAAAATAAAAGTGTCTTTTAAACCACCAAGTATGTTTATGAATTGTATTACAGGTTTTTCCTCCCATTTTAAAACTAGAATTTGTTTTTGTATTTGTGTCCATTGTTAAAAATAAGTATTTTTACAGATGCATACAACGAGGAAAAGGGAACTCTGGCTTGAAATGAAGCCATTCAAGCATAAGTCAAGAGCAGAGAATGCATTAGGGTTTAAAATTTAAATACGTCCTACTTAAACTGAGAGGGTAACATTTTGTAAAAACAAGAACAGATCACCTAAAAACTAACAATGCAAGCCTTTTTTTCTTTTTTATAGTATCACATCAAAGTTACACAGAAGACCCCAGTGATCACTAGGGAATCTGCCACAGTCTAGTTTTTCCAATCCTATTAAGTCCATACTTCGTGGAATAATATGTCCCCCGTCTGCTGCAGGCCGAAAGTAAATGCGGTCAAACCTCATCTTGCACTTGTACTCTGCATCCAGGTTGGTATTGGAGTTGGTGTCCCAAGTATAACGGCAGTGTTGAGGTTTACCCAAAAACTCCCAGATATCCATAATGTTGTTAGGTAAGTTACCTAGTTTAGTAACCTGAAAGTAGAAGGCGGGGCGGGGGGGGGGGAAATCCACAAGATGCTGAATTCAGACTTTACCTTCAAAAACAGAACTGAGTTGTCACAATATCACTTTTTCCTGCAAAACATGAGTTGTCAAAAACAAAGATATTGGAGATGTTTCTAAATTGTGGTATTTCTCAGGATACTCTAAAGAATGACCAGTTCCTGTAGTACTTTCTAAATCCAAAACATGTTACAAAATAAACGTTCAGCTCTGAAATTTTGAGGTATGGGGGTCAACACCATGTCCTCTGAAACAATGTCGTTCCACTTCACTGCAATGGAATTTCATGATAAGGAAAGATGAAACACTGACCTTTTAGTAATAATGCACAAATTTCACTTTTAATATCAGCAGCCAAAAATTATTTCTAATTATGTCGCGATGGGGAATTAATTTTAAACTCCCAAGATCGATTTCTCCAGAGCACCCTCTTCTTTCATTGATTCTACAAGCATTAACTCTGAGAATTGGAGAGTTGAGCAAATAAAGATCAAGTTCTCAAAATTCTCAAAATGAAACTCCATTGACTACCCCTGCATCTTCTCAGATATAAATATTGCCAATAAAGCATTTTGTTATTGCGGAGGGTGGGAAGCTTTTCATATACCTCACCTCAGCTATAACAAAGCCTCCGCATAGCAATGCCACAGCTTTTACTTAGTCATGCTTCCACTTTTTAAGAATAAATGTTGCTTATGCCTATTCTGCCTAGGCAGGTCATTTCTCACAAAAAACAGAAAAGCCTCAGAAGATTTTGTCAGAATACCTTCTCAAAATAACAAGGTCACTTATTTCTATTTACCTCACTGTCTCTGAGGTTTGTATCCCCTCCAAATATAACAGTGGTAGACTCAGGCTCCTTCTGCATTTTGTTTAACATTATTTGCAGTTGCTTCATACGCTCCTTGGAGTGATTTTTAGTGCTTTCCAGATGAGAGGTCATAAGGCAAAGTTCATTACCAGATATGCTTACCTGTGCATGAAACAAAGGCAATGTTACTATCCACACCATGATAAGAAGTTCAAAGACAAAAATCTAATCACAAAGTAAATTACTGAATGACAGACCTCTAGTTATTATTAGTTTTACATTGAAGAAAAGTGGCTTACAGGAGGATGACAGGCTTTTAGTTTTGTTTTCAGAGGTTATGAGACTTGAAAACAAGGCACGGGCAATAACTTACAGAAAAAAATTAGGTTTGTTAGTATCAAATGCAACTGGGTTTGTATGTTTGGACAAGAAGTTTTTCTGCTGTTTGAGATTGTTGTAGAGTAAAGCCAGTCCAGCCTTTCCTGGGATCTTTTGTTTTGAAGGCAGAAATACAGCTGTTTAGTACATACTGACTTACTCACATGCACAACCAAAAGGTTCCTCATCATGGAAGTTGTTGGAAAAGGTATTATCTCATGTTTCAGTAGCTTCACTCTTGGTTTCTTCAACATTATGACAGTGAAATAGCCATCTACGTTACCTAAAGAGGAACAGGGAAAGAAATGGTCGAGGATGTCTTCTGCTGTGCTATAAAGTAGTTAAGGTTCTGAAAGAGACCTTTTTACCATGATCTGGGAGAATCATGTTAATTTGTAATACGTACAAAGTCATTAGTTAAATGTTTCATAATTGCGCTCTGAATTTTTCAGGCTTTTTAAATGCAAATATTTAAGAAGTGACTTGTCTATGGCACTTTTCTGGCTACCCTTGTGTCCTGGTTTCAGCTGGGATATAGTTAACTGTCTTCCTAGTAGCTGGTACAGTGCTGTGTTTTGAGTTCAGTATGCGAAGAATGTTGATAACACTGATGTTTTCAGTTGTTGCTCAGTAGTGTTTAGACTAGTCAAGGATTTTTCAGCTTCTCATGCCCAGCCAGCGAGAAAGCTGGAGGGTCACAAGAAGTTGGCACAGGACACAACCAGGGCACCTGACCCAAACTGGCCAACAGTGTATTCCATACCATGGGACGTCCCATCTAGTTTAGGAACTGGGAAGTGGGGGCAGGGGAATCGCTGCTCGGGGACTGGCTGGGTGTCGGTTGGCGGGGGGTGAGCAATTGCCCTGCGCATCATTTGTAAATTCCAATCCTTTTATTACTACTGTTGTCATTTTATTAGTGTTATCATTATCATTATTAGTTTCTTCTTTTCTGTTCTATTAAACCATTCTTATCTCAACCCACGAGTTCTACTTCTTTTTCCCGATTTTCTCCCCCATCCCACTGGATGGGGGCGAGTGAGTGAGCGGCTGCGTGGTGCTTAGTTGCTGGCTGGGGTTAAACCACGACACCTTGCTATCAGTCTTTCAAAATGCAGAAAAATGAAACCACCAAGCAAGCAAGCTTTTTACATGCATAATTTGCATCAAACTATATCCTGATATCAAAACACAGAAAGTAATTTAAGTGCTTTCTTCTTCACTTTACTCTTTTCAGTCCTACAAACAGCCTGAGATTTTGGCAAGGGAGACAGAATAAAACTGAACTTACTTTTCCGGTTTCTGTCTTTAGAAACTGAGGGTTATTTCTTACCTGGAATAATAGTGTAACTGCCTGCTCTCATCTGTAGAAGACAGAGCTGTGGCGGGATGACCTCTTGTAAAAACACAACATCTGGATTGTATCTGAAATTGGCAAGACAAGATTTTAAATTAACTACTGAAAGGTAGTAAATTAACTACTGAGGCCAAAGGGAACAGGGTCAGCAACTTCAGTTGCACCTTGTCCTCGTCTTCCTAGATATTGTAACAATCTGTTTTTTTAAAAAAGGAAAAAACTCTCTCCATCATATTTAGTAGCATGTAGACACATCACCATTGTTAAAAGGGACGAAACAATTATTATTATGGACGTGGAACTGACATGGTAATAAAATGCATGACTTCCTTATACCTTCATCTTGCAAACATTTACACAGGTTTCATATACTACATACACGAGGAATTCAACTGCAAAGCAGCTTTGGAACATGTTCTGCAACATCTAAGTTCTCCAGGACATTCCAACCACCACCTCATTCCCTCACAACAGATCCCCGTGGGTAACCTGCCATCCATTTTCTCCAGTCTCAACAATGACAAGCTCTTTTATTTCTTAGAGCTGTGCAATCACTAACAGTTCATGTGGGGCAGCAATCCTGAAAATGCTGACATGACTTTACAGCTGTCCCTATTTTTGCTACACTGCTGAATAGCCCTGCTCTGTGCAGGTGAAGGACAAACCAAAGGCCTTATTTACAGAAGAAAAATACTGTCACCACAGATTAATAAAATCAAGTGATAATTGATTTAGTTAAGGAGTTTCTGCTGTTTCAAGAGAAACTTAAATTACCACTTGTTTAAATCGTTTCATTTACACTGATAAGTTACTGTGTTAAGATAAATCAGTTTAGGTAATAGTTAAATTGCTCATAAATATATTCATGGGAGGCTTCCACTGGTGGAACTATAAAAGGTAATCACAGATTCTATTGCTTTCATCTTACCTTGCACATTTTCTTTTTTGACAGACAAGTTACAGTAACAGCAAGAGAGCCACTTTTCACATTCCACTAAAAAAATCTTTTTTGTTGTTTCAAAGTTTGCTCTAATGTGAAGTTATTCAATACTACTGGAATGAGACAAACAAGTTTCTTGCAGTTTTACCCTTCTCTCATGTACAGGATGGAAGTATGAAGTATGCTCTTGATGTATGACTGCAACTTGAACAATATTGTTCATTATAAAAAAGCTTTTTGAAGTAGCCATCACAAAATATTTAACCTTTGGGATGCTGCATAGGTTCACACCTCTTCCAACCAGTATATCAACTTTTATTCAGCTACTTAGGATTTATAAAGTGATTGTATTGTTGCATCAACATTAAGACAATTTGGGCATGAAGAGTTGTAAATATCTAAACCAAGAAGTTTGCTTTTTCCTTTAAAGCTGGGTACATGACAATACAAAGATAAAGCTATACTTACAATGCCAGGTAAGAACAGATTCCTCTAACTCGTTCTTTTAGATTTCCTAGATCCAGCCCAGCAATGTTCCAGGTTATCAGTGAGAAGCTGCTGTCATCTTCTTGTTGCCTCGAGTCTGCACTATTGACACCGGCATTACTAGTAGTTGCATCTGCTGTGAGGTCAATACTAAAGAGAGAGTTTACTCGTTTGTCAACATGCATAACACTATTCTTCTTGCAATTACCACCCTTATCTTCTAAAGGAAAATGTTCTAGACCCATCACAACTTACAGGTAGCCACCTAAAACTTTCCCAACAAATAAGTTAACATGTACTGATCTCAACATAACTTAAAAGCACAGTAACTAAAACATACAGACCTCAATCATACAGAGCCTTAGTACACAGATGAAGTGTTTTTTCCTCCTCCTTATAGACACAAGATAACATTTACTATTCCAATTTAAGTTCATCAGATGGCGACCAATGCAATCTAAAGCACTTGAGTAATTTAACTCTTTCCCCATGAGATTGACAGGCTGTGTATATTAGTTTTTGAAACATTTTCCAGCACATTAGACACAAAGCACTGCAGCCTGGACTTGCTTTTATATGCCCACCTTTGCAGTACAGCTGAGATTCTTCCAATTGCCAAATCCCTGGGGTACGTACATGTGCAAACTCACTCTGTGACGAACTGATGGTCCTTTTCTTTGGGAACATTCACCCCAAATCCCACCTCAAAAACACAGGCCAGGCCTGTCTACCCAGTTGATTTGACAGTATTGCTTAGCCTTTATCAAAGTTTGAGTACCAAGCCTAGTAACTGTTTGGGGACTGTGTTGCTAAAGAGAACCAGACTCTACCTGCTAACACATGGTTGTACTGGTTTTGGCTGGGATGGAGTTATTTTTCTTCATAGCAGCTCATATGGTGCTGTGTTTTGGACTTGTGACCAAAACAGTGCTGATAACACAGGGATGTGTTCGTGGTTCCTGAGCAGTGCTCACCCAGAGCCAAGGGCTGTTCTGCTTCTCACCCCACCCCACCCCACCAGCGAGGAGGCTGGGGGGGCACAAGGAGCTGGGAGGGGACACAGCCGGGACAGCTGACCCAAACTGGCCAAAGGGATATTCCATGCCATACGACATCATGCTCAGCGTATAAATCTGGGGGAAGAAGAAGGAAGGGGGGACGTTGGGAGCGATGGCATTTGTCTTCCCAAGTCACCATTAGGCATGATGGAGCCCTGCTGTCCTGGAGATGGCTGAACACCTGCCTGCCCGTGGGAAGTGGGGAATGAATTCCTCGTTTTGCTTTGCTTGTGTGCGTGGCTTCTGCTTTACCTATTAAACTGTCTTTATCTCAACCCATGGGTTTTCTCACTTTCCCCCTTCCGATTCTCTCCCCCATCTCACGGGGGAGAATAAGTGGCTTTGTGGGGCTGAGCTGCCCAGCTGGGTTAAACCACCACACTGATACAATGTAAATTCCTTGAGTAAAGGGAAAGTCTGTAACAAAATACATTAAATAGTATAGCTAAGACTAGCTATAGTCTTATAGCTATACAAAAGCTATATACAGCTTGTATATATACAAGCTGTACTTTGGCAAAGTTGCGATAGTAGAGTTTTGTTTTTAAACACAAAATTTGTATGCACACATGAAAATAGAGCCTGGAACCAAAACAAATCTATTCCCTAGAACTTTGTACTGGTTTTGTACTTGGTGCAGCACAAACAACATAAGATTCCGCTACCATGCACATGAGATTTAACCTGAACAGAAAAAGAAAAGCAGACAAAGGAGGTGAAGCTAAGTGATATTTAAGTAGGTAAATAACGTGGTCTATGTCTCCAATATTTCCACTTTGACTTTTTATATTTATACTGTAACCTGAGGGACTATGAGATGAAATATGAAAGTCCGTGTGGTCTGCAGTGATCTTCCCCTGACTGGGAGGTCTCCACACAGTCCTCCCTCCCAACACATCCTGCATACAGCAGGTCAAGACAGTGCCCACAGTGCAAAGACAGACAGAGGCTGGAAAAGAAAAAGGTGCTGCCAATTTGATGCAGATCTATTCTGACTCATCATGGACTACCTAGAGACCAACGCTAATGTTCAGTAGGCTTGCATTTTTTCATACACACATATCAAGCAAAACCAGGTACGCTGTTATCAACTACAGCTTACTCATAACTAGAAAGATCATAAGGGCTCTTCTATATAACATGCAAGCCTATAATAAATAGGTCTATAGGCAAAAAGCTTCCCTCAGGACTGTGAAGGGCAAGGATCTGTAAAAGTTCAATACCTTTGGTATACCCTATGGGTAGGCCATGAGATGATCTGTGTATGCAAGACCCAGATCTTAGAGCCTAACCTCCACAGGTACGTTTAACAAGGTATGCACAGGCATGTCAATTTTATTTATAGAAATACAAACACACGTACATCTAGTACATGACATACACACACAGTTTACATGTACACAAATGTGTGTGCGTGTACAGTAAAATCTGCCTATGTATCGCTGCACGAGACAAGACAATAAAAAGGAAATTACTCTGTCCCTTCCCCGAAAGGCTCACTACCTGCTAGCCCAGAGGAAGGCGGCTGAAGCATCTGCAGAGGGCAAGTGCAGCCCGCAAGCCTGACAGCCTCTCAAGAGGAGCGGGCGATTCCCCTCGAAGGGGGCAGCCTCGGGAAACGAGGAGAACCAGTGTGGAAATGCGAAGAACGGAACCCACCTGCCCCACCACACATCAGCAGAGGCGCGAAGTCAGGCGGAGAGAGCGAGTGCTGCTCCCCTGGCAGGCGGGGGGGGGGGGCACGGGGGGGGCCCCCCGCCCCTTCCAGCGGAGGGGAACCGGCCCGCATGCGGGGAGGAGGGCAGAGGCACCGCTCCCCTCGCCCCCGATCCGCCTCCTCCCGTCACCTCCCCCCGGCCCGGCGGTCACCTACCAGCTCCCGGGCCCCGCGCAGGCCGGCGGCAGCCCGCCTGCCGCCTCCTCCTTCTTCTCCAACGGCGGGTCGAAATAGGCGTTCAGGGCCCTCTGAAACACAGAGGCAGATGGCGGGGAAGGGGAAGGGGAAGAAGGGGAAGGGGAAGAAGGGGAAGGGGAAGAAGGGGAAGGGGCAGCCCCCCGCCCCCGCCGCCGGGCGTACCTGCATGTGCCAGCCGTTGCCGGCCAAGAAGCTGCGCGCCACCGCCGCGTCGCTGCTGGTGATGGCGGCGAACTCGGAGCACAGCACCTTCCTCCGCTTGGCCAGGTGTGACTCTTCCTCCTCCTCCTCCTCATCCGCTGCCTCCGGAGGGCACCGGGCCGCCTCATCCACCCCCTCCTCCGCCGGCACGGCCGCCTCCTCCATGGCTCCCCCGCCGCAGGGCGCTGCGGGCGGAAGGCGGCGGGGAGCTCCGCCCGCCGGGGTTGCCGTTCCGGGGCGCGGGCGGCCGTCGGCGGGAAGGGCGATATGGGGTTCACGGTGGAGAGCCTGAGGGAGGCCATGAAGTACATGGTGGAGTCGCAGGGCTTCGACCGGGTGCTCCGCAAGGTACGGGCGGGCCGCAGGGGAGAGGGCGGGCGGGCGTCCCGCCGGCGGCTGGCCGTTAGCGGCAGCCGCTGACTGGAGAGACGGCGGTTCGGCCGGCCAGGCGGGGCTGCTCGTTTAAAAAAAGCCGGTTTCCCTTTTTTTTCACTCTCTCGGAATGAAAGGCTGAGGTAAAGGCTGAGGTGCGTGTCCTCAGGCGCGGTCTCCTGCGCCTCAGTGCTCCGTGGGTTTCCACACGAGGGCTGGTATAAAGAGCTGCGTTTGGCTGGTACGGCTCTGAGGTAACGCTGCGTCAGGATCAATAAAGGTTGAATTGAGGTGTTGCCGTGTTGTCTTCAGCTTTGTAGCGTGTAGCTGCTGTGTAGGGTGGTCCTGTGGAGCAGTTTCAGTGTCCTCGTTAGATTTCGCAACGCTAGAATTCTCCATTTAATTTCTATTTGTGTAACTGTGATACGGAGTGACGCAGCAAATATATCTAAGAAAACCAACCATGTCAAAATCTGTATGTTTTGCACCCTACACGAGCAAATGTAATATTGGAAGCGGTGCTTTCATTGACAGTTCCACGATCCGATACATTTAATAGAAAGTAACTATTTGTAAAGCAACTCTTATACTCTCTTGTTTCCCCAAGACGTTTTGGTCTTGTATAGAAAAAGTATAGAGCTTTAAGTTTAAGAAGTTCACTTATTTATAGAGTCTAATTAGTTCTTAGTCACCTCTTCACTGTAGTAACTTCCCTCTACCTTAAAATCCTACTAAATGGAGAGCCAATGTAGTGTTTCAGCTCATAAAGGTAACTGGCTGGAAGTGAGCCGTGGGAGACAGGCTTCCTGCCTTGCTCTGGAATACTTCTAGGCTTCTTCTGCAATCTCCTCTTAAAATTATGCTGCTGTGAACATAATCATAATATCAAAGTACAGTTTTGTTTGAATTTAAAGTATCTGCTGTTTTTCTGGGAGACACCTGAAGCCTTTCTTACCATAACTAAATATGAGTCAAGTTTTTTCCTGTTCTGGAAAAGACAGATTTTAGTGTGAAACTTTTCAGTTCCAGCATCAGACTTAGTTTCTGGTTTAATTCCAGTGTGGTATCTATGTAGGGCTTAACGACTGTGGGTTTGAAAGCCCCTTCTCCAAAGAAGTAGAGCATCGCAGTAGTGGTTGGAAGCCGAAGCAGCATACTGTTCACGGAGGCAGACGCGTGGGAGGACAGGCACAGAAGGGCTGTGAGAAGTACAAACACAGCTCTACCTGTGGAAGTCCTGGAAGTGTTCAAATACTGAACCGTTTTCGTCAAGGAGAGCAGGCAGCTAGTGCCAGATCAGAGCAATGACAAATGAAATGAGATGCCTTCCTCTCCTGGCTGATGGATTGGAGCACTCCCTGACAGTAGTGGAAGCCATCTGCTCCCAGTGTCAAGCGTCCGTGAAGTCCTCATTAGAAATTCTGTCAGAAACTTAGGCCTCCAGTCAGTACAGCACAGCATGCCTGGTTTAGGACTCGGGATTTTCATTGATCAAGGTGCTATTTTCTATATTAGGACACTGGCTCAGTGATTTCCCCTCTGCTTAATTGCAGCTTTTTCCGTTTGTAGACAGACTGTGTACTTGTCCCTGTTTTGGCTGGGATAGAGTTAATTTTCTTTCCAGTAACTGGTATAGTGCTGTGTTTTGGATTCAGTATGAGAAGAATGTTGATAACACACCGATGTTTTCAAGTGGTGCTAAGCAGTGTTTATGCCAAGTCAAGGATTTTTCAGCTTCTCATGCCTAGCCAGCAAGAAGGCTGGAGGGGCACAAGAAATTGGGAGGGGACACAGCCAGGACAGCTGACCCAGACTGGCCAAAGGGGTATTCCATACCATGTGACGTCATGCCCAGTATATAAACTGGGGGGAGTTGGCCGGGGTGGGTGTGGGGTGGATCGCTGCTCAGGAACTAACTGGGCATCGGTCAGCAAGTGGTTAGCAATTGCATTGTACATCACTTGTTTTGTATATTCCGATCCTTTTATTATTGTTGTTGTTGTCATTTTATTATTGTTATTATTATTTTCTTCCTTTCTGTCCTATTAAACTGTTCTTATCTCAACCCACAAGTTTTACTTTTTTGTTTCCCCCCCTAATTCTCTCCCCCATCCCACAGGGTGGGGGCGAAGTGAGCAAGTGGCTGCGTGGTATACTTAGTTGCTGGCTGGGGTTAAACCACGACAGTACTACATCATCATTTATCTTAGTATCGTTTCTCTGCAAAATTTGGATAAAATTTGGCCTATCAGAAAGGGGCATGGGCTGAAACTGAGCTCTTACACTGCATTATAAATAAGGAATAGTGAAACTGGAGACACTTCAATCTTAATTCCTTCTAAGATTAAAAAGATTTAAGTCAACTCAGCTGATACGGTATGGAAACATATAAGTTAAAAAAAAAACTTTCTAAAAAAATTAGAAAATTAGTAGGAATTATAATAAATATTATGCCCACATTTCACTTGTGACAGTCTAAAGGTACTTCAGAGTCTTAGTTGTAGGTGTAAATATATATGCTGAACTTACCCCAGTTTTGCACCTGCTTTCAGATTTTGAATATAGTGCTACTAACTGAAGAAACTTGAAAAAAAGATTTTAAAAGACTGAATTGCAGTAACTTCTTGGTCTCAAAAATCCAGCTTCTTGCGTTGGCTACAGGGGGAAGCATGGTACCATAGATGTACTGTAATTTTCTATTTAACACCCATGGGCTGGAATAAAAGTGTATATGCAAATCACGATGCTGTAATACAGTGTGATACAGTCTTGGATACTTCTACCAAGGAATATGAATTTCAGTTCAGGGAGGCCTATCTGATTAGCATTTCCAGTGCTCATTTCAAAATACTGATTTTTACTGAGATTGCTCTAGTATAATGATTAATGAATTACTGTCAGTCTCGTTTCCATTTTGTGAGCTAACAAATACACTTTCACAGCTATGGTACGCACAGATAGAGCAGTTTTGTGTTTCCTCTAATCTGGCTTCTCAGTTACAGATTAAAGCAAAAGGAAGACTGAAGAATGTTGTCTCCTAAGCAATTCCTGAGAGCATAGCAAGTATTGAAGTTTTGTTAAGCTGTCAGTTTAAATATTTATCTGCAGTAGAAATACAATTTTTTCTAAGGCAACAATCTTCTGCTCAAAATTTATGGAAATACCTAATGTGACAGTTGAATTCCTGTATTTTCCATCTTTTAATTTGTCTCATGAGTCCAGAATTAAACAAGATTTACTTTCCATTTGATTCAGGGCAGTATTCAGTGTTGGTACTATTGTCAGTAAGCTGTTTATTCCTTTTTTGGTCATACAGATGAAACTTCTGTCTGCAACTCCTGGAAAAGTTGTTTGTGAAATGAAAGTAGAGGAGGAGCATACAAACAGAGGTGGCACCTTACATGGAGGCTTGACAGCCACACTTGTGGATGTGGTGTCAACAACAGCGTTGCTGAACACAGAAAGAGCAGTGCCTGGGGTCAGTGTGGACATGAACATCACGTAGGTATCATCCACCATGTTTACCAGAACATACTAACTTCTCTTCCCCTAATACGGTATTGGTTCCATTGTACTTTGTTTCTATGCTGTAGTACTCACCTCTTTGGTTTCAGAACTCTTGTCTTGATAAATTAAGGGGGGACTGTATTTGGGGATATTGCCATTTGATTGCAAAATTCGAGTTGGACTGACTTAAGCTTTTATTTGCTACACACGTTTAAGAGACAGTTCCCATTCGTTCATAGAATGTAAAGGGATATTGATATGTAGTAAATTTTAGTCTTATGAAATTGGCTCAACTTCTGTCTTCACTTGCGAAGATGTGTCAGAGTGTGTCCTTAAACACCAAGATCTAGGGTAAGCAGCTTTTTATAAACCCTTTTTTAGTATTAGTCCAAAAAATGTTAGAACAGGAAAAATATTAAACCAGGAAACAGTTCAGGTCTGTTGTATGCTTATATAGAGGGTGAATTACAGATTGAATCAGAATTTCTCAGTGGAGGAAGATTGCTTTGTTCTAGGTCATTTAAAGGTAGTTTTATACTTAGAATAGTTCTTCCTGTAATGCAAATTTAAAGCACAGTGTCTTTAAAAAAAAAAAAGAAAAAGTTGTTCTGAAACCTTCTTTGATCATGCTATTATAGCTTGTCAACTTTGATTCATTACTTTTAATGAAGAGATTATGATTGATTGGAACTAAAGTAATCCTACTTGGAATAACTAACACAGAGCATTAAAAATCTTGGAAAAGTAAACCCTCATCAAAACTGTCTTAAAAAAAAAAAAAAAAGCTCTAAAAGTGTGGGGGGAGTGATCTATATCTTTACCAGGTTCCCTCCTTTCCCCCCCCGCCCAGCACCTTCCGATTTCTCCACTGAGGAGTGGGACTGGAGCATCTATTTAAGCTTTATACTACCACTGTGATAACTAGGAAACTACTGGAAATGAAAACCTGAAATTCTCCTATGATTATGTTTTTCTCCCTACAGTAGTATAGCAAGAGGCTAAAACCTGAATTATTTACACTGTCAAGTATGCCTAGCCAATTACATAAGGGCTAAAATAGTAAGAAAGTTCTCTCTCCAGAGGTGATCCAAAATGATTGCATAGCATAACCTTTAGGAAATGTTATGTGAAGCAATATTAATAGCTTTGTTTAACCCAGACTACTGCTTTTATTGAACAAGTGATACTGGATGTCAAATACTAGTATCATACAACTTCTTCCTTTTTCGGAAGGAACTTTTTAAAAAATTGGCATGAGGAAACTATTTCGGTAATGGAAAGAACAGAGAAACTTTTTTTTTTTTTAATCACAAGAGGATCAGCAGCAGCCTCTGAGAACAAAACAAGTCTGAAACCCTGCCCCCTGTCAACTAATGGGACTTGTGCTACATCAGCATTAGGCGTTACTGACGTCCTTTTGACATGGTGTCATGTATAAAAATGGACTGCTTGATGAAATTTTTCTCAGTAAGATTTATATCCAGTAATTATACATTCTCCTCTGTAATTCTAACATTTGAATATTGTTCCCTTACCTCAGATCATGGTTGGATCATGTTCCTCCTAATTCTTCCCAGGTTTTTTGTGGGGGAATTTCTTCCTGTTCCCTGGAGAGTGTGTTTTAAAAGCACACCCTCCTACTCATGTAAATAAAACCAGAGAGTTATCTAATGAACGGAAACAGCATTAAACCTGGGAAGTTTGGAGGCCTCCCAGATTTCCATGATTCTTCTCTGACCAGGGTATGGGAAGCAGTTAACCTATGCTGAGGTTCTATACAGAAATGACCTTCTGGAGCCTTTGTAACAGAGACATTTTGCAGCTGAACCAGCCAGACTGGTTTAGAAAGGCTTTAGGGAGCCAGCAGTGGCTGGAATAGGACTTGTAGCTGAACTTGTAGCTGAGGTCTTTGATACCTAATTGCTTGTGTTCCAAAATGGACTGTTCCTCAGAACCAAGCCAATGGGTTTCTTTCTGTCCTCCATTTTCTCAGAGAACTCTTATAGTGAATTACCACTGCAGTACGCAGAGGAACTCAAGGACTTTAAGAAGTGGGGATTTGCAAGCAAGTGTTAGATGTGTCTTTATTACTCACATTTGCTAACTCCCTTCATGATAACCTAAAATGCAGGAATATTATTGGATTTGTGCTCTGTACAGCCTCTTACCTGTTCATTTTGTTCTTCATTAAAGATACACTTCTGCTGCAAAGATTGGAGAAGAGATACTGATTACAGCTCAGATTTTGAAGCAAGGAAGAAATATTGCATTTGCCAGTGTGGATTTAACAAATAAGGCAACAGGAAAGTTAATTGCACAAGGTAGACATACAAAGTATCTAGGAAATTAATATAAGAAAGTAATTTTAAAAATAATAATGTTGGGCTTAAGAATCCTATACAGAATGATTTTCTCATTTATGCAATAAGACATCATCTGCACAAAGTTGTGATAGTCTATATAAAATGAATTTATCTCACTCCCATAACGAACGAATTTCTTAATTACCACCAAAATTGCTACAAGCCTAAAATTAGTGCCTATTTTGGGACGAACAACATGATAGCATGGGGATGCATCTGGCTTTTTTTGGTCAAGATAGCAGAAGGGAAGAGCCTTTGTACAAGCCATATGGTTTACCAGCATGACAGTGTTCTAAGAGATCTCTGTTTTCTTTGCCTGTGGTGTCATCATGTGACAAAGCAACCCTGTCTTCAGGCCTGTCACAGTCACGTTCAAACAACACTATACACGCTCACAAACTAAACTGCTTGTTCTGTAAGATGGTCATACAGACTTCCTATAACATAGTGTGAAACTGGTTTGAAAGCGTAAAGCAGGCTAATACAAAATGTGATTTACTGTAACATTCAAAAGTATTCAATAAAGTTTTCTGAAACTATCTTTTTAAAGATTATTTAATAGTTTTGTAATCTCTTTGCACTGAGTAAAAGCTTGCCAGCATGGAGTGGCTGAGAGAGGGTGCAGTGGAACCCTTGTACGCAAGTTCACCTGAGTTTTCATTATCTCCCTGCGATTCCTGAATGTGACAATGCACTTACTTACATCATCAGGGCTTTTCACCTCTACCTACCTGAAGTTCTGGCTATATTTGTTTAAAAATCATCAGCTGAGAGTTAAAGATGTATCAGAATAAATTTGGTGAGCCTTTCGTCAGGCTAAGGCTGTAGATTGTCTGACTTGGGTTGAATGTGGTAGAGTTAAGCTGCTTTTCATCAGCTGAAGACTTGTCTCCTCATGCACTGTTGGGGACAGGTTTAACTGCTTTCTCCAAACTGATGACACATGATGCTTGGCAAGGCTATCACACTGTAAAAAAAAAAAAACTGATGCAAGTTTACGTAAACCATGACCTTAGTTTTTCTTCTCTAGCGGGAGATTGGAAAAAGTTAATCTACATTAGTAAAGGGCATGCCTAATTCTTTTTCTCATGGGAGTTGACTCGTTGTTTTCAGTGATTTGAATTTTGTCATTAAATGTGCAGTTAGGGCTTTTGTTGTGCATTCCTAAACCTAAATAAATAATTTCCAATGAGTTAAGTGACCTGTTCATGCAGACTGATTTTCAATATGAAGTTGAACAAGTTTACTAATACATCAGCAATCTTTCCAAAATTACTTTCAAACAAGTGATATAGCTGATAATTTACCCTTCAGTAGAAGTTTTCTAAAAAAAAAAAAACAAAACCAACAAACCTACAGTGGGCTCAGGCTATCAGCATGTATTTTTGCTGCAAGTTTAGAACAGTTGTTTGTGCTATATACATTCTCAACAAAAGCTTTTTCTGTGAGACTGTCTCAGAAGCATACATGGCTTACATGCCTGTGGCTAGTTGAAGTTTTAATAGTAGCATCCTCTCTTCCACAGTACGTTCGTAATTATTTTTTCCCCAGTACTTGCACTCATGCTCAGAATCATCCCTGAATCTCACTTATAGAAACACAATGCTTTGCTAAAGCAGTTCTGTGAAGATACGTATTACAGGAGCAACCTTTTTTGTTTACATCTTTGCTCAGCAGAACTATATGCATCACTGCATTAAATTCTCACTTTACAGCTTCCTCTGCCTGGAGCTCTACTGAGTCTTAAGCATCTCCAGCTCCTCTGCAGTTACTGGCATGAGCAGACAGAAAGAATCCACCATAGCATGCGGACACACCTAGTGGGTTTAGCAATTCTGTTCTGGTTGTCTTCCTATTAACATGTTCTGGCATCTCCAGTCATCTTTTTTTCTCATTCTTAAGTTTACCCCTTTACTTCCAGAGGTCACCCATGTAGTAGACTGTGAGGAAAAAGAAGTGAGGATTAAAACTGCTCCCCCAACTACTATAAACCCACCCCCCTTCACTGGAACACGAGTGTGATTTCAACTATTATCTGAAGTAAAAAGGCAGAGGGTGAGAATGAAGGAGGTGCCAAATTCAATACATGCCAAAAATTGGGAACACTCTCAGCTCTGCGTGCTGGCACAACTCTGTGTAACTGTCCCACTGCAACTTAACATGACTTCCCTCAATCAAAGCTGGCTGCGTCAGGAACCTACTATAGTTAACTGGTCTCATTCTATCACTTAGCATTCATCGTATCTACATAATTACAACTGAAAAGCATCCAGGCAAATTAAGAGTGGCAAACCTCAACACCAGAAACAACAGTATCCTCCTGTTCCCGTTCGAGCCTGGCAAGGACTGTTGCAGACCGAGAGGGAAATGGAAAAAAAAAAAACCCTCCCTGACGTAACAAGTGAATTCTCTGCTCCCTTGTAACAGACTATTCACCACAGTATTTTAGTGCTGCCCAATTAATAAGAGGGACATCATTAATACGCAGGCCAGTTATTTTGAAGTGGTTCATTAAACTGATTATTTTAAGACAACCTTGTCTGTTATCCCTCCACCAGCAGCAGCATGTGTAACTCTTAATTTATTTCACAACTAACTTAGGCTTTGAGATGATCTTAGAAGGAATTGTCGCAGTTGAGCTTGCTTGGCTTTGGGAATAAACTGTCAAACATCAGACTTAATATTTGGAAGCGTTCGTTACTAACTTCACCCTAACCTACATGTTGAAAAATCTGTTATCTTACCTCAGCTGAATCTCAAAGGAAATAATGGAAGAAAATTACCATAATAAGGACAAATGGTACATGGTTCCACCTGGCATCAGAACAAACATCTCCTGTGGGGCTGACCTGGTTCCATCACTGCAGATTTACGTATAATTCCCTTACAAGCAAGCAAATAAAGTGACCTGATGAGATCATCTTGAGTCTTGGTAGTACACCAGATTACATATCCAATAACCGACAGGCATCTGTAAGCTCCATATCTTACAGCTGCAAATGAGACTGTCGTTCCCATATTGTGCTGCTTGGGGTTTCTTTTTTCTAGTCTTTTTTTTTAAACATACCAAACACCTACACCATACTCCTTGATGTCTAAAGGTCTGTCCTTACAGAGTGCCACATGTAGCAGTACGTGACATGTTGTGGAACAGTTTGTTTCTATCAGTGAAAGTAACTGCAGCTTCCCACTTCGTGCCAATATTGGTCAGCCAAGACTTTCATGCTGTTTTCATGTTACTGCTATTGCAGGAACGCATTCAGACTGACACCCAGGCATTTGCACAGTGGTAGAATTGTGCATTACAGATCCCTTGAGAAAATGAGGAATCAGAACAGAATCGTTCCCACTGGCATTTGAGTCCAGATACTAATCAGGGCAAATACCGATCACAGATTAAGGTGCCGTGAGAAGGGATTTAGTCATTAAGGATTCCAGCTCTCGGGAAGAGGCAACTTGTCAGCGATAAAACAGTGGGGAGGAGAGGGTAAGGAAGGACATCACTGCTGAAACAGGCGTTAAACTATCAGGACTCCTTGTTACTCTTTCAGGTTGAGCCACCTGTCACAGGGGTCTCCTGGCTGAGCTGCTTCACCCAGGTTACTCTGCCAATTTAATTACAAACTAGTTGGTTTACAATTCTCAAACTGGCAAGCATTGCCACCTAAAGGGGATGGGGGCGGGGGGGGGAATTAGGCTGTTAAGTAACTGTTCTGAACAGCAGTTCAATTCTGTTCAGCTTCATTGACTGGCTCCGAGCCACTGCCAGGGCGTACGGAAGAATTTCCAACTGCGTTTTATCACTAACCAACCATTTTAGAATCCTCTATCTGCAGAAACCATTTAGCCAGTAGAAAGAAACCTCAAAACCTCACTGTCCAAAGGAATGAAGAAAAAAGTATTTTGATTCCTATTTTGCTACTTAAGAGTTCAGAAATGACACAGTGACAGTTATTACCTTTGTGATTCTGCAATGCATTCACTGAACGACTGTGGTGACCAGATCCCCTGGTCCCAAGCTGCCATGATTGTGGGACACTGCAGCATATACAGCTCTCACCTAAACCAGAGTAAATTACCTGCAAGCTCTAATCAAACAAGACACATTGGCTGTCCTCCAGAAAAAACACCAAACTACTGTTGTTCACCAAAACAGTACCTGGGGCTGTACCACTGCAGTAAGAATCTGGATCTTTGATTTCTTTTGCTTAAAAGCAGCAGCTGCTCGAACAGATTTCAAGAGTCCAGGAAAGCAGCTTGTAGAGTGTGTGCTCTAGCATACACTAATTGTGCTCATATTAAGGGACCTTTCCATATGTAAATCCCTTCCAAGCAGAACTAGGTCATAGATATCTTCAGCCCTAAAAAGCATTTCAGTCAGCCATGCAGAACAGAAATGCTGCTTATCACTGAGCTTGCTTCAGTTAACCTGTAGAGGTGATGCACCCCTCCACAGCATCAGCACTGTAGTCAGCCTTGTGAGCCCCCACCTGCAGTGCACAAACCAGAAAGCGCAGCATCTCCTACCGTAGGTGGAACTGCAGTTTCCTCCTCCTATTTCTGACAGGAGAGAGTTCATCTGTACTCCAAGAACACCGCAACAGGGAAGATCTAAACACCAAACTAATGCAAAGCACACAGCCCCTGTGCGCTACAGCAGGGAAAGAGCTAAGGGACCTTCCAGTTGCAGTGTAGAGGCTCACTTGCTCACTCTGAGCTTTTTAACTCACAGTCATGCTGAGCTCCTGCAGTGAAGTAGCCTAACATGTACAGAAGACACCTACAAGCTGAGGCCTTGCTCTCACAACACCCACATGGCACCAAGTAGTACAGGTGCAAACGAAGGCCAAACCTATACACAGAAATGTCCTTTTTGTGTGCTAATGATAATAAGGGACAAGTAGTAATACTGGCCTTATGGTTTGGGAAAGAGTGATTTATATGTAAAGATTACCAAAATGAAAAATTCCTCAAAAGGAATTCTAGAATAAACACCACTCGCTAGTCCCATGCCTCAAACAGCCATGCTAAACTTTTTTTCCCTTTTGTAAAACACTATTAAAACCCTTTATCTCATTACTTCATTCCGGAAAGCTGTTCCAGAATCTGTAGGCTTATACAACTTCTGATTTTCCTGCTGCTAACCACAAAACTAAAAATGGAAGAAGCTTCTCCAGGTCAATAAAGTAAAACAGCAACTAAGTAAACTCACACCACATGTGTCTCTGCTTAGTAAATGTAGTCTAGCAATTCTTGACTTTAACAACTGTCATCCTAGTGGCAGGAACCTTAACATAACCTTAAATGAAGCCTGTAGCAGTCCACTAGAATAATCTCACACTTAAGGAGCAAAAAACCCTTAAGTGACCATTTTTACTGTTCAACCCCCAGAGATCCAGATTTAACATGAGATGGGTGTTCATTAACTGCAAGTCACCTAATGACTCAGCACATGACAAGTACAAGAAAATCCAGCATTCTCCCGGCAGCAAAACAGAAACAGGCAGGGAAGGACACCTGTAGACCTCACAAGCTGGAAGTATGTACAAGGAGCAGGATTTCATGGCACTTGTATGGGGTTTTAAAGGGATTTTAAAACTAATACATCATGCCTTAATGTGTCAACAAAAAGATGTGGATATTCGCAAGGACCAGAGCACTTACACGTAGTGAAAACTGATCCTCTGCTTGTTTTGTATTTTGCAAATACAGATCAAGTAGATCTTTCAGGGATTTAATTTTTTAAGAGGTCTAGAAAATTTAAACTGGCAAAGTTACCATCTTTCCACCAGCTTTGTTCCTCATAGGCTTAACCTTCTGCTATGCAAAAAAAATCAACTTGTAGCAAGAGATCAGTACCTTGATCTAAAGCTTTCAATGCACCAAGATTAAGTTTCTACTTTGAGTAGCCATTTTTTTCTTTTTTTAAAGAGAAACACTGAATAATCCCAATGTGTTTCTAGTACTTGATGTATCGCTTAGCACAG